TTTCATCTTCAATGCCCTTGCTGATGAAAGGTGGTTTGCACTCAAAATCTCACGATACATGGCTACATTCATTCTACGATACATGGCTACATGGATACATTCATTCTGTCCTACACATGGATCAATCGTCCTGGTCTCTTTGCGGAGAAACAGCCCCAAAGCATGATGTTGCCACCCCCATGCTTCACAGTAGGTATGGTGTTCTTTGGATGCAACTCAGCATTCTCTCTCCTCCAAACACGACGAGTTGTGTTTCTACCAAACAGTTCTATTTTGGTTTCATCTAACCATATGACATTCTCCCAATCCTCTTCTGGATCATCCAAATGCTCTCTAGCAAACTTCAGACGGGCCCGGACATGTACTGGCTTAAGCAGGGGGACACGTCTGGCACTGCAGGATCTGAGTCCCTGGCGGCGTAGTGTGTTACTGATGGTAGCCTTTGTTACGTTGGTCCCAGCTCTCTGCAGGTCATTCACTAGGTCCCCCCCGTGTGGTCCTGGGATTTTTGCTCACCGTTCTTGTGATCATTTTGACCCCACGGGGTGAGATCTTGCGTGGAGCCCCAGATCGAGGGAGATTATCAGTGGTCTTGTATGTCTTCCATTTTCTAATTATTGCACCCACAGTTGATTTGTTCACAGTAAGCTGCTTGCCTATTGCAGATTCAGTCTTCCCAGCCTGGTGCAGGTCTGCAATTTTGTTTCTGGTGTCCTTCGACAGCTCTTTTGTCTTCACCATAGTGGAGTTTGGAGTGTGACTGTTTGAGGTTGTGGACAGGTGTCTTTTATACTGATAACAAGTTCAAACAGGTGCCATTGATACAGGTAATGAGTGCAGGACAGAGGAGCCTCTTAAAGAAGAAGGTACAGGTCTGTGAGAGCCAGAAATCTTGCTTATTTGTAGGTGACCAAATACTTATTTTCCACCATAGATTGCAAATAAATTCTTTCCAAATCAGCCAATGTGATTGTCTGGATTTTTTTCCTCATTTTGTCTCTCATAGTTGAGGTATACCTATGATGCCAATTACAGGCCTATCTCATCTTTTTAAGTGGGAGAACTTGCAAAATTGCTGGCTGACTAAATACTTTTTTGCCCCACTGTGTATATATATATATATATATATATATATATATATATATATATATATATATATATATAATATATCAACCCATGCAATCCATACATACAAAGAAACCAAAACAGAAAAGCTCAGAAATTAAGTTGTGTAATAAACAGGAATGACAACTTAAAAATCTATCAAAACTCCCCACACTTGGTTTGATGGATAGGATATGGTGTAGGGCGAAACACTACTTTCAATACCAAGGGTTTTCTACCTTTACATACATATTTAACAATTATAATTACCCAGAACTCCTGAAACTGAAGGGGTTTGCCCAATGGTCATCGATAGGCATTAAATATATACCCGAAATTGTACAATGGTCAACTTCTCAAAGATTTTCAAGCATTCAGGGAGGAGTTCGGCTTGCCCAACTCAGTTTTTTTTCAATACTTACAACTTCGACATGCTATCCTAGCACAAGCCAAAAACTCCCCATGGACATTGGTAACGCCTACCCTATTGGATCAGTTGGTGCTCTCTTCATCCAGGAGGGGCCAGATATCCCGTTTATATGGAGCATTGTTGCAACAGATTTCTAAGGCCTTCTCCCTGAATTATAGAGTGTAATGGTCCAGAGATCTTGATTTTATTTCAGAGGATGAATGGTCCACGATACTATCTATTGCCACCTCAGTATCCTTATCCTCTTCTCAGAAACTTACTCAGCTTTTCATAATCCATCATACATATCGTACTCCACAGAAATTATTTGACTGGCTTAGAAGAGACACTCCCTTATGCCCACATTGTGCAATTGAGAATAGTACCCTGCTACATATGCTCTGGAAATGTCCAAACTGGTGCGCTACTGGTCATCTATAATGCAAATGACTAATAATATATACTCTCCCACCCTCCCTATGAACCTGAAATTGTGTTTGTTGGGATGGTTGGATGAGGAGAATTTTGATCCCCATATGTATACTGCTAATTTTCGCCTATTTGTGGCTAGGAAACTCATAGCTCAAAATTGGGCAAATCCGCCCTCCAAATCAGGATGGTTAAAAGCCGTCAATGACATGTTACATCTGGGGAAATTGGTCTTTCAACATAGGGAGTGTGCAAGTAAATTCATTAAACTTTGGGAGGCTTGGCTGAGTACTCCTGGCATAGCACCGTTTCACCTGGTCAAAGACAGATTTTTAAACGGGGCCTTCCTTTCGGTCTGATCTGAAGAGTGCTACAACTGTACATTTGCAAAGTATACTTGTTGGTGCCCTATCTGCTGGGGGGGATGATAATCCAGTACTTATCAAATTCCTGTAGGTGTAGGTGGTCATTCAGTCCTCATTGAGTGTGCAAATGGTGCTCATGCTATGGAGGGCTGCTGTGAACCGTGGCCTTTTTGCCCATTATAGTATGACTAACTTCTTAGTTTGCGGCCCCCCCTCTCAGATATAATTAGGGATGGGGGTCATTGGTTGTGTTGGCAATAGGGCAGGCGGATTAGTAAAAGTTTTTTTTTTGTTTGTGTATTGTTGTATGGAAAAGGCCGTCCTGTGTGATGAACCTACACAAGTATTGTTCAATTTAATTCCTTTCTTTTCCTTCGTTTTTGTTCTTTTTTTTTGTGAGATGTAAAGAAAAAATTCAAATATGTATGGAAACTGTGTTTGTTTCTAATAAAAATGATCTGATTTAAAAAAAACAAAAAAACAAAAACAGGAATGACACGGGAAAAAAAGTATTGAACACATGAAGAAAGGGAAGTGCAACAAGGCTTGGAAAGCCAAGACATCAGCTGAAATCTATCAGTAATTAGAAAGCAATCCTGCCCTTTGTCAGTGCAAATTAATATCAGCTGGTTCAGTCTCAACTGAATGGCCTATAAAAAGGTGTCTCATTACCAAGGTACGACACAAGAAACATCTCATGATGGGTAAAAGCAAAGAGCTCTCTCAAGACTTTTGCAACATTATCGTTGATGGTATTGGTTACAGAAGGATTTCTAAAATTCTGAATGTTCCAGTGAGCACTGCTGGGGTCCATATAATCCAAAAGTTTAGGAACATCATTTCATCATAAACCGACCACAACCAGGTGCTCCTTGCTAGATATCTGACAGAGGAGTGAAAAATAATTAACAGAAGAGTTCTCCGAGAGCAAATGATCACTTCTGGAGAGCTTCAGAAAGACCTGGAATTAGCAGGTACAATTGTTTAAAAGAAAACAATAAGTAATGCACTTAACTGCCATGGCCTATATGCATGCTCACCATGCAAGACTCCACTGCTGAAAAAAAAGTATGTTGAAACTCGTTTAAAGTTTGCTGCACAACATTTAGACAAGCCTGTGAAATACTGAAGAATATACTGGTCAGATGAGGCCAAAATTGAACTCTTTGTATGACATAATACACAGCATGTTGGGAGGTCAAATGGCACTATACATCACCCCAAAAACATCATACCAACAGTGAAGTTTGGAGGTGGGAACATCATGGTGTGGGGATGTTTTTCAGCACACAGTACTGGCAAACATCATATGACTGAAGGAAGGATGAATGGAAAAATGTACCAAGACATTCTTGATAAAAATCTGCTGTCATCTACCAAGATGATGAAGATGAAATGAGGGTGAACATTTCAGAAAGACAATGATCCCAAACACAAAGCCAAGGAAACTCTCAATTAGTTTCAAAGAAAGAAAATAAAGCTGCTAGAATGGTCTAGCCAATCACCTGATTTGAATCCAATAGAAAATCTAAGGAAAGAACTAATGATCAGAGTTCATAGAAGAGGCTCACAGGATCTTCAAGAATTTTTGTTTGTCTGGAAAAATGGGTAAAAATAACATCTGAGTAATGCATGCGACTAGTTTTTTTTTTTTTTTTTAACAGGAGGCGTCTTGAAGCTATCATTACCAACAAAGGATTTTGTATGACGTATTAAATACATTTCAGTTAGAGTGTTCAATACTTTTTCCCTGTGTCATTCCATTTTATTACACATAACTTAATTTCTGAACTTATTTGTTTTGCTTTGTACGTATGAATTGCATGGGGTGTTATTGCCATGTGGTGAAAATTTCATGTCAATAGCACCTTTAGAAATATATTTACTGAGAAAAATAGTGATGTGTTCAATACTTATTTCCCCGATGTATAGTTACATTGGTTCAAGCTGGACCAGTATGACTATGTAAAAATATACCATGCCTGGAATTCTTCTTTAAATTGTTTATTTCTTCCATGCTATCAAACTTCTGTGCCATCAATTTTTTTTGTTATGTTATGATTTTTTCCCCCCTCTGTCATTTAATGATGGATCTTGCTGAGAGAAATATCAAATGTGCAACAAGAATTTTTAAGGGGGCTTTAGAGAACATAAATATGGAAACATGGTTCTGTAAAGAGGCTGTACGAGCAGTAATCTATAGATATCTCAGGTAATGTGTCTACAGTCTATCACAGCCCCCAAAACATATCCCAGTCTCCAAAAACTCCTAAATCATGTATGCAGTCACTAACCATATCCTGTAGCCCTTTGGCAATCTCAGGGGCCACACTTGAGTAAACCTACATCTGTAAGTTGTCCACCACTTACCTACAATCATTACAACAAGGGAGAATCTGTATTATTTTGTGGAAGAAAGGGGAAAAAGTACAGGAGACCACATGACATCAATGCTATAAAGCAAACAAACAGCTGTCAGTAAACAAACCCACTGGTCAGCAAATCTCATATGCTGCATGGTAAAACTTGCTAGCCACAGCAGGAACACTGCTGTGGGTTTGTATTCCACCAGTTTGCAAAGTGTTAGCAGTCCATTGAGACCACTTTTATGCTTTGTAATTTTATTTTTAATACTGCTAAAGGTTTTCAGTTTTAAATCACTACTTGATTATAACATATAACCTAATACTTACTGCCAGATCGCTGTAGAGGTGATCACCAAAATAAAGCACCTTGGACCCTCTCCAGCCTGTCAGTTGTAAAAAATCAAACAGGTTTCCCTGAAAATAAAATGTGAAATATAAATACTTAATATAGGAGTATTTGCAGTACAAAGACACATCTTCATATGATATAATTTGTGCCAATAGATAATCAATTATGAAAGAATATTTTTTGTCCTTGGCAAAAGATAGAAATAGAGATGATATAACATTTGGTATTCATTGTTAATTTGGTATTCATCAGATCTTCATCATGTGGGCACACATCTAACTTATTTAGAGGTTCCATTTATGTGTGGACTTTATGGGGTTTATTTACTAAAGCTGGAGAGTCCAAAATCAGACTCCTTTCTGCATAGAAACCAATCAGCTTCTAGCCTCAGCTTGTTCAATGAAGCTTTGGCAATGAAACCTGGAAGCTGATTGGTTTCTATGCAGAAGGGAGTCTGATTTTGGACTCTCCAGCTTTAGTAAATAAACCCCTATATGTCCAGATGTTCCCCTTAGTGAAGGATTCTTCCTGCTGCACTGTCTATGATATAAAATAAATTAATGCATAACTAAACCCAATAACACAAAATTATATATTACATCTTACCATCCTTACATGTGGCAGCTGCTTTAGTTTTTATTTTTTTAGGTTAAGAACATTTTCATCAAGTACAGAACTTACCTGTCAATCTTGCCAGAAATGAAATGTCCTTGCAACTTCATGTGAGTGCTTTCTGCACAATGTTATCTTTCCATTGTAAACTACTATTCCTATTATTCCATATGTAATGGAGATGAACAAACGCAGCCATGTTTAAAGTATAATCTGGGTGGCAACCATGGATACAGTAGAAAAGTAAATATTGCCACCTAGGGACAGAAAGTGGCTTATTCACAAGGTCCTCAGCTGAAAATAAAGGGGAAAAAGCCTGAAAAAAGATGATTGTTACAGCCACCACATCTAAAGACTGATCAGTTATATTACATTTTTATTATTGGGTTTATATATGCACGAAAAGGGAATTGTGAGACCCACTCCAATAGCTGAAGCAGATTAGAGAAGTGTGGAAATTTTACAGATGAAGTCACATAGACATGCAGTCTATGCTGGCAGATACTTCACAAACTGCAGGTATCAAGATAAAACTTTTATTTTGGATAGAATAATCCTTTAATACTCTGTGTGTACGTGCAGCATGTATGAGGATTATATTTATCATATGAAAATATGAATATTTATTTACCTGTTTGTATATTTTGCCTTTTTCCAGGCTGTTAATCCTGTCCCACTGCAGTGAGCCATTTTCATCCAGTCTTCTGAAGGGCCTACAAAGAAGAGGTAACCAGAATACTTTACATGCCAGCATTTCAAGCACACGTAAGACAATTTTTAGAGGACAGTATAATGATTTCCCTATTACAGTGGTATTTTGCAAGCAATACTAATTCAAGCTTAATCTGGCCATACACTGATCAAAATTCTTCCGGTTCAGCAGTGACCAGATGAATTTTGTTCAGTGTGGAGGTCCCCACATGGCAGAAGTTGATCATTTGATTTGATCATTGCTGAAAATGTTTTCTTGATCAACGGCCACTAAGCTGCAGATCAATCCATTTTGACAACAGTGTGTGTGTGTGTGTGGGGGGGGGTTTGAACAAAAAAAAAAATCTAACCGTGTAATGCCAGCTTTACACAGTTATCTGGCAAAGCCTTCAAAACAGTAAAGATTTAATTGTATCATATGTCAAACAGTACTGTGTGAACTATATGTTCAGCAGTACTGTAAAGTGGGATGACAACCACTGTGGGATTTACACCTCTCACACACTATCGCTATGTTCCAAAGCCATGAAACAGAAATGTCAGTGGTGACAGTTGAACTAAGAAGCTTCGGCTATAGCTTCACACGGTCTTGCCAGGAGTGAAGAAATGACAAAAGATGTGGCATTCCAAAAACTTTGCAAGAGGGAAGGAAAAAATATTGTAGATGCACAAGTGCCACCATCTTCCAAGCTCTGAAATATACCGATACCTCCAAAAAGTGCACTTTTATTCCAAGTATGTAGTAGAGATTGTACAACCTTAGACACCTTAACACAGTTTGAACACTTATGCCCGACTGATGGTACTTGGTCCCAGCAAGAGTGGCTAGATCCCCTCGCCCAACTCCAGGGATGTCCTCAGTAGCAGTTTCAGGACGCATATTGTGAATGGTTCTTTGGCAAGAAAGGGGGCAGAAACTAAATGAAAGTTTCTGGGAGTAGAAAAAACCTAAGAATACCACATTTTTTAAACTGTTCTGTGAAAAGGTGAAAATAATAGCCAAAATAAATTAAGAAAGAGATGCATAACACAGCTGGGTTGAGCCCAAAAGTGGCTGGTTAGAAAACAGTGGAGAAAGTAGATGGAAAGAATGTGAAAAGAGATGGGCAGAAAACAAGGGGATAGAGAAAAAAGATGAAGTAGCTGGGTAGAAAGTGAAGAAGAAATTAAATTGCTCAGCAGACACTAAAATATCTTATTGGAAGTCAAAAGTAGCTAGGTAGAAAGAAAACAGCAAAGCAAAAAGTAAAGTCACTGGACAGAAAACAGATTGGAAGAGCATGAAAGTATTTGGGTAAAGGTGGGCCTCAGCACCTGTCACTAGGTCGAAGTGGTCCTCACTTGAAAACCACTGGACTTAAAAAATAATTTTGGGCAATCTAATCATGTGTCAATACAGAGTTTAAGTTTTCTAAATAAAATATACATTCTGGCAGTGTAATTCTTGAGGCTAGGACATCATACTTGCGCCGGTCAGTAAAGAAGGCAGGTTTGTCTGCCTTTACGATAATCACATCAAACAGATCTCGCCAGTTCTTTCCTACCATATAATTCATTCCTTTATTCCTGTAAGAGAGAGACAAACAATTACACTCAGTGACATTTACAGCAGAAATGTAATCTAGCAAGGTCATTGGGAAGGTATGAGTGTTTATTTAGCAGGGTTCAGGCTGGCTAGAGTTCTGGACAAAATCAATAAAAGACAGCCAAGTTTTAAAAGGCTGCTTGTATACAGAATGATCTTTCATTAAAGTGATTGCAAACCTAATTTTTTTTTTTTTTTTTAATAACAAGCAAGTCATACTTACCTGCTCCTTACAATGGTTTTGAACAGAGCAGCCCTGATCCTCTTCTGGGGTCCCCCCCTGGCGCACCTGACTCCTCCCCCCCGCCAGGTGCTCACATAGCAAGCCGCTTGCTATGGGGGCACCTGTACGGGCTCGATCCCAAGCTGCCCTGTTTGTGTTGAGTTCACTGCTCTCTGCTCACAGGCTGTGATTGGCAGCAACAGGAGCCAATGGCTCCCACTGGACATGTTTGGGATGTTGAAAACTTGGGCTGCGCAAAGTTTCAAGTCAATTGATTGAGATTTAGGCAGTTTATTACACGTTGAGCTACATTAAGCCATTTTCCCATTAAATGTTTTAGTCTGTCCCTTGTTAAAGCAGAGTTCCACTCCACCTATAAAAAAAAAAAAAGTCAGCAGCTACAAAAACTGTAGCTGCTGACTTTTAAAAAATAGCAACTTACTTGTCCCTCGGTCCCGTGGTGTGTCCCCTGCAGCTCGTTTCACCGTCCTGGATTCCAGGAGGCCGACATCTTCAGTGTGGGCACCCGGCTGTTATAGCTTGCGGCTTCACAGCCAGGTACCCATTGCGCATGTGCGAGTAGCGCTGCGCTTCATGAATGGTCCTGTAGTCTTCTGGGACCTGTCACGTGTCCCAAAAGACTACAGGGAGCGAGGTAGGGAGGTACCTGCCAAATTTGGGTACCAGCTCCCCCCTTCCCAAAGGTGCCAATCCTTAATGTGGAGCGGGGGAGCAGTCCTTAAAGCGGAACTTCCCCTTTTGGGTGGTGCTCCGCTTTAAGGTAGTTGTAAACCCTTATACCTAGTATATTGACTGGCCTCGGGTGATACACTGAGAAGAAACAAATCCTTCTACACTCACTGTACCTGTTTATTTGTAGCCATATCTTCTCTACAGTCAATCAAAGTCCAGAATTTATACTTCTTGTACTTCAGATTACTTGTCTGAGCATTCAAAAAGCAGGGGGCAGGGAGCTGAAGTTACACTCTGCAGAACTCAATGAGGAATGTTGAGAGCAGATTAGAGGGAAGGGACACATCCCCTTCACACAGCACACAGGGAATGACACTTACTGCTCTGTATTGAGACATATACACACTATAGAGGAATATTCTTTGTTAATATTTCATATCAGGGGTTGCATGCTCTAATCGAAAAGTGTTTTCTAACATAACTATTTAACAGAAGCTGGTCCTTGCACTGGTTTCTGTTGAAAACAGACAAGTACATACATATTGACATTGCATGTCTTTTTCTGAGACTAAATAACCTGCCTGCTGGCAGATTTTAGGAAAATCCCTTCAGTTTTACTTTAAGCTGGCCATACACTGTGCGAATTGTGGCCAGTTCCTGATGATCTGATTGAAATTCGATCTGTGAGTGACACTGTCACTACACTACTGCTGATATCCCTCATTTGAAAAGTTGGGTGGAAAATTGTTGGCCAAACAGCTGCAATTGCTGTTTAGGTATTTTGACAGGCGGTGGAGCCAGCTGCCAAAATACAATAGCTGCAGCGTGAGATTCATCGAGTCGTATTGTACAGAGTGGATAGAGGAAACTGATAGATTTTTTTGTTTAGCCTGTAGGAGGAATGAAAAAAATCTATACGTGTATAGTCAATGTAAATATCCTGATAACAATACCAGATATCCCAGCCACAAGAAAAACTGAGGGTGGGAGTATACAGGCTGAAAAAGGGGACGTTTCCTTTCTCCACATCAATACATCTACAGTCAACAACAAGAAGAGTTAGAAAGAAAACGGTCTTTCTACTGGGCTAGATGTTTGATTGTGGGTCTATTGATCCAGGGTAGGGAATTGTAATTACACAGTACACTATTCTACCCACAAAAATGCACCAACTTGTCTTGGATAGGAATAATAAAGGATCCATCCCACTTGTATTGACAGACAGGGTGGTAGTTTGAAACATTTAATCATATGCAGAAATGTGAACTGACAACACCATGATGTGTGGGTTGTTGTGTGTAGATCCTGGCAGTCCTGCTATCTAACGCCACAATTTACAGTGTGTTGAAGTTCAGAAATTCAGTCCTAGAAATAATCCCATATTTCATTTGAGCTGGAGAAAGACCAGAATTTGTGAATTTGAATGATTGGTGAAATAGTTTATGCATACATAAACTACTTGTTGGTTTAACAATTTGGTAATCTGTGTTATGCAATACTCACACAAAACTAAAAGGACTGTTTGTAATAAGAAAAAGCTTCTTATTGTGTCTTACAAGCCTCTTCAGTACAGCATAGACCTCCTCTCGATGTAGTATGTAGTGTTCTGGGGAAAGAGGACAAACATCAGAAAAAATCCTCCAACTGTTGCTGTGCTGTAGGATAAGGTTTGTGTGCACATAGACAGAAATTCTATTTGGTTTGTTTCCATCATACTGTATGACAAACAAATGTTTCCAAGCAGATGCATGGCTGTATTTAGGCACAGAAATAACACACAGGGGCTCCCAGGTTTTAACCCACCCAGCATAATAAACCTAAAAGCACAGCTCTAAGTTTCTATCCATTTCAATGACTTCAACCTGCAGAAAATGCAAGAGAGGAACATGGTGGAACTTTATCCATTCAGTAGTCCCTTCCTTACTACTGAATGACAAGAGGAAGTAAAAAGTAATTGTTCTGTAAACATTCCAGTGAATATAAACACTGATATTATGGAGCTCTAAATTATTCATGCTTTTCTGAAAAGATTTTCCAATATGCATGCATTTCAAGACTTTTTTGAAGGCTCAGTCTGCCCAGAAGTGATTTTAGTTACAGGTGAAGCCTGACAGGCTGATAGTCCTTGGCTTTTTCTAACTCCCCAAAGCACAATGGAATAGTGGTTAGCACATTTGCTTTGCAGCACTAGGGTCCTTGGTTTGAATCGCAACGAGGACACTGCCTGAATAGAATTTTATGTTCTCCCTGTGCATGGGTTACCTCTAACGCTCCAAAGACATGCTGATAAGTTAACTGGCTCTAGTATATGTATGCCTGCGAGGTAGAGTCTTTAGATTGTAAGCTCCTTGATGGCAAAAAACTGATGTGAATGTACAATAGGTAAATCGCTGCATAAACTGTTGGCACTATATAAATACCTGCTCTCCCTGCCTTAACCACTTCAATACCGGGCACTTTAACCCCCTTCCTGCTCAGGCCAATTTTCAGCTTTCAGTGCTGTCGCATTTTGAATGACAATTGTGTGGTCATGCAACACTGTACCCAAACAAAATTTTTATCATTATAAGATATATTGTATGTTAAAATAAAATTTTTGAATTTATCCTACCCATGTCCTTCTCAATCCAGTCATACATCATTCCCTTTACATGCACATCTCTTACTGCATCCTAGGAAAACAGGAGAGACTGTGAAAGTCATCTGAACAGTAAACCGCTTAATGCTACAAAAACATTCATAGTAAAACAGTTGTAATGCGAAGACCTTTCTTATTCTGATCTACCCATTTATAAAGTGAGAATTGCAAGTTAGGAAAAATATTAGAACAGGCCGTCCTCTACAGTAATAATTACCCCTGTGGCCATAGGCCAAAAGGCACATATGGGACCTGCTCATAGGGACAGTTTTTTTTTTTTTAATTTTCATTGTATATGACTGGGTATTCTTGGCAAAGAAAATTTTCACTTTGGTTCACCTCATTCACTAAGCTGAGGGAAAATTCACTTGCAAAAGCGACAATCCACTTTGTAAAATCAACAAGCTCTACCTTTCAGTACATCAACCACATTGTTTATCAATTATTAAACTGAAACAATAGCAGCTAGCCCATGTAAGACTTTGGTTTTCATGCCTTTGGAAATAAAAGCTTATGAGTCACATCCGATTTTGTCCTACTACAACCTCAAAGCATGTATGCAACACAGATCTCTATGTTTGAAGGTGGGTTAATATAGTATTGGACATAGACTGTGTGATCTGAGCAAATATTAGGCCCACCCAAATACTATCATCATAATTACCACAGCTGTTGGGTAGTGCATTTTAAAATTCCAAGGCAAAGTACTCTGAAGCTCATTTTTAAGAAAAACAATAGCAGCTATATATATATAGTTCAACATTATGTAAATGTACTTCTGTTTTTGTGCTGATCGAAGTTCTTCTATATAATATTATGCATTCAGTAGACTTTGTTGTAACCAGACAACAACGCAATTATACTAATACTCACAGTTGTATCCTTGTATAAATGAACTGGGTCAAAGTCAATGCCATTAGTCATAAAGAAATCAGTTACGCAGGAAATCAGAGTCATCTCAGGTAGAGAGAAAATATCCATGAACTGTTTCATTGTAGGTCCCTAAAACATAAATGTAAACATTGTACTCATCCATTAAACAAGAACAAAAATGTTAAATATGAGTTTCAAAACAATTGGTGCTACCTATCTATATAGGACCTAATAATATCATCAACTACAGTACATCCATTCAGATAAAATCAGTGCAATTCAAAATTTGTGATACTGTGATAGTGATACTCTGAAGAACAGTGAATTCTGTTTTCCACAGTGCAGTATTGTCAATGTTTATTAAATTGTTATGCCATGGGTATTTCTAAAAATGTTATAGTTTGAATATATTGGTATATTTTTTTTTTTTATGAACTATTCTGGATTGCTAGAGGTAGAATTTGGAATAATATGAATAAGGTGTATAGACACTATGATTTACTGCAAATAGACCTACTAATGATTAGGTTTATAGAACTTCTGAGTGCATTTTAGCACACTGAGAAAGTGTAGATACACAAAGGTGCGACAATGGTTCAGGAACTTTATCAGGACTTTAGGCACATTTTGGCACTTTATTTTTGTGCTTATATATATATAGTATAAAGGAGAACACATACCTGTGGAGCATCAGTTGGTACTGATAAGACGAAAAGTCCAAAATCTAAATCCTAATTGAATGCTAAAGGCCAATGTCCAGTAGCTTAGAAATCATTTACTGAGGAACCATAGGGGGGGATTTACTAAAACTGGTGCTTCTAGGTTTTATTGTGAAAGCCTAATTGAACAAGATGAGGTTAGAAGCTGATTGGTTAATATGAACAGCTTCACCAGATTCTGTGTGCACCAGTTCTAGTAACACCTCCCCCACACCCCCATAGAGTCAGCTTTTTCCACCTCCTTGAATGTAAAGTTTATGTTGAAACAGCACTGCTTCCATCTGTCTTAGTAAGCTTTACATCAGCTATATTCCCTGCCACTATATGTTCTTTGTCATTTCAACAACCATGAGCTTAAGGCAGAATATGGTCCCTTGGACTCTGCTGCTTAACAAACAGCTGTGATCCCAGCCATCCATATGCTAAAACATAGCATTTAAATAAAAATATATATATCTATAAGCACTCCTCCAACAAGATACATGAAAATGTATGGTTTGGTGGTCTTTTACAAACTCTGAAAGCTATAAGTGAAAAATAATAAAAAAGTGAAAAATTGCAAAAAAGTTCAGGCAGCTGAGGTAAAAAATGGAGAGCAGGACCCGGAAGCGAAAGAGTTAAAAACAGAATTCGAATCAATAAAAAGTGCCATTGCATACAGTTGTGGTGCAATGATATTGTGTAAAGTAGGGTAGCAGAAGCATTATGTGTAGTGCTACTAGGGTAGCGGTGCTCAACCTGTGGCCCTCTGATGTGGCCCTTGACCTCAAATCAGGGAAGTGCACTTCTATTTTATCATTTGGGTTTGCTTCTGAAAGTACACGAAAAACTCCTGAATACAGGAGTGCATCACACCCGCAAGATATAATAGAAGTCTATGGCAAAGCACAGCTAACCCGCATGAAAGCAACAGGTGCATGGTGCGTTATCCCTGGTGTGGGTAAACTGCAGCACATCAATGTGAAAGCAGCCTTATAGGGGGCTCAGGATAGTAAGGGCTCTTTACATTTGCAGTTTGGGGGGCAGTAAAACCCCATAGTTGAAACATGTTTTTACCACACAGCCCCAACCATTGGTGTATCATCAGGAGTCACAATGGTGATCCCACTCCATGCTCAAGGGGGCCTGTGCCGCCTCCCTGTCACATTCTGTTTTACACATGGACAGGAAGGGTGGCATATACAGGAACGGATCATGTCCATTTTCTTCCTACAACCGCTGAAAGCCAGCTTCTCCTCCTTTCCCTCCTACCGGCAATTAGTGGCTGCAGGAGGAAAATGTTAATTATGCTAGTCAAAGTAAAAAATATTAAAATTCGGAACCATTTCCTTTCATTGTGGCACACGACTGGTTACCAAATCACTTAAGTGGCCCTTACTCTTCAAAAGCTTACGCACCCCTGTACTAAGGCAATATGCATATTAAGGGGGGGAATTTCTCTTTTTAAACTCTAGCCAGCAGTAAAAACAAGCATTCTAACCCACTCTCAAACTAAAAGAAAAGGGCTTTGGCAGAACCAATACTTCAAAGGAGGTCAGCATAGGCAGCCTCCATATTTCCTATGGTCTCAATGTGCTGTAGGAACTAAACAGCACTTTGCCCTTTAGCAGTTTAATGGCCTTTAACAGTCCACTAAAAACAACAATCATCTAGGACTATTTCCTACCTTACTTCAGGGTGCTCAAACTGATAAAATCACACTGACTTGAAGAAGGGGATGGGAACGGGATCTAGGAAACATCACAGAGGAAATTTGGCAAAGAAGTCTAGAACAGGTACCCTTTGTATCCCTATCACCTACACAGAGACTGACACAACTGTCTATTGTACATAGGGTATACTGTACTCCACTAAAGCTCTTTCAATAGCACAGTGAAGGCAGCCCAAACTGCCCAAGATGCCTGGAGGCACCAGCTGATATTTTAAACAACCTTTGGAAATGCCCCAAGTTGGTTTGGTACTGGTAAGATCATAGCCTTCAAGTGGATATCCCGAGAAGTAGCACTGCCAGGTTTATTATACTTACTGTATTAAAGATTTTTTTTGTCCTGTGCTCAGGATTATAAGCTCTTAGTGTGAATATAACAAACTGTGATAACAACACCTTAAATCAAAATTATATATACAAATAAACGCAAATGAAAAAAGATCGTCCAACAAAAATATTGTCTAAAATGGCTGCAGCTCTTATTAAGGGTGCTGATCATCACAAATGTACAATCAAATATATACAGTATCTCACAGAAGTGAGTACACACCTCACATTTTTGTAAATATTTTATTATACCTTTCCATGTGACAACGCTGCAGAAATGACATTTTGCTACAATGTAAAGTAGTGAGTGTACAGCTTGTATAACAGTGTAAATTTGCTGTCCCCTCAAAATAACTCAACACACAGCCATTAATGTCTAAACTGCTGGCAACAAAAGCAAGTACACCCCTAAGTGAAAATGTCCAAATTGGGCCCAAAGTGTCAATATTTTGTGTGGCCACCATTATTTTACAGCACTGCTTTAACCCTCTTGGGCATGGAGTTCACCAGAGCTTCACAGGTTGCCACTGGAGTCCTCTTCCACTCCTCCATGATGACATCACGGAGTTGGTGGATGTTAGAGACCTTGCGTTCCTCCGCCTTCCGTTTGAGGATGCCCCACAAATGCTCAATAGGGTTTAGGTCTGTAGACATGCTTGACCAGTCCATCATCATTAACCTCAGCTTCTTTAGCAAGGCAGTGGTCATCTTGGATGTATGTTTGGGGTCGTTATCATGTTGGAATACTGCCCTGCGGTCCAGTCTCCGAAGGGAGGGGATCATGCTCTGCTTCAGTATGTCACAGTACATGTTGGCATTCATGGTTACTTCAATGAACTGTAGCTCCCCAGTTCCAGCAGCACTCATGCAGCCCCAGACCATGACACTCCCACCACCATGCTTGACTGTGGGCAAGACACACTTGTCTTTGTACTCCTCACCTGGTTGCAGCCACACACATGCTTGACACCATCTGAACCAAATAAGTTTATCTTGGTCTCATCAGACCACAGGACATGGTTCCAGTAATCCATGTCCTTAGTCTGCTTGTCTTCAGCAAACTGTTTGCAGGCTTTCTTATGCATCATCTTTAGAAAGAAGCTTCCTTCTGGGATGACAGCCATGCAGACCAATTTGATGCAGTGTGCGGCGTATGGTCTGAGCACTGACAGGCTGACCCCCCCCCACCCCTTCAACCTCTGCAGCAATGCTGGCAGCACTCATACGTCTATTTCCCAAAGACAACCTCTGGATATGACGCTGAGCACGTGCACTCAACTTCTTTGGTTGGCCATGGCGAGGCCTGTTCTGAGTGGAACCTGTCCTGTTAAACTCTGTATGGTCTTGGCCACCGTGCTGAAGCTCAGTTTCAGGGTCCTGGCAATCTTCTTATAGCCTAGGCCATCATTATGTAGAGCAACAATTCTTTTTTTCAGATGCTCAGAGAGTTCTTTGCCATGAGGTGCCATGTTGAACTTCTAGTAATCAGTATGAGAGAGAGAGCAATAACACCAAATTTAACACATCTGCTCCCCATTCACACCTGAGACCTTGTAACACTAAGGAGTCACATGACACCGGGGAGGGAAAATGGCTAATTGTGCCCAATTTGGACATTTTCTCTAAGGGATATACTCACTTTTGTTGCCAGCGGTTTTATACATTAATGGCTGTGTGCAGAGTTATTTTGAGGGGACAGCAAATTTACACTGTTATACAAGCTGTACACTCACTACAGATATAATAAAATATTTACAAAAATGTGAGGGGTGTACTCACTTCTGTGGGATACTGTAAATGAGCTGCTCTGTGTGATCCCCTCATAATTACAAAGCAAACATGTACTATATATGCCTCAATACAATCCCTTGTGACGTGCGAAAGTGATATCAAATCTTCCAAATAGTGCTAAGGTGCTTTTCATATGATCGTGCAATCCATGAACTGTGCTCCCCACCAGTGGCCCCACTCACTCACCGACTTTTATGGAGTCTTATAATCAAAAAAAGAGTCAAACTCGCATTGGTGGAGGAGATTTTCTGGTTATGCTGTGACTTGTAGTCTGCCTCTGCCCGGCTGCAGTCACTTGTCTCAATCCATCAGTTGTGGCGATAGGATGCTCATGTATAAGGAATGTATGAAGGAGACCACATAGTGTGATTTCATTTATTAAAAGCCAAAGGATAAAAGTTTATATATTGCACTTACATTGATTTAATAGTAGCAAGCATTAAAAAAAAACACTGAACCAGGAAGTATCGCACTGACAGTGATAAAAAGATATTTATATACATCTAATCCCCATCCTCTACACCCATTCTGTTTCTAAAACCAATTATGGTCTAAAACCAGAAATGTTCCCATGGCCATCTTAC